CTGCATGCAACTGAGACACAAGCAACCTGAACTAAGCAACCTGAACTACTGGGCAAGTACTGCTTTAGACATGCCAGGGAGCATGTTCAACATAAACCCTTAAACTGTGAAACCCTATACCCTTAAACCCTTAAACCCTAAACCCTCAAACTGTTAAAGCCTAAGCCCTTAAACTTTGAAACCTTAAACCCTTTAACCCTAAGCCCTTTAACCCTAAATAACGAAACGAGACCTACAAGAACCCCTAAGAACCTCCCCAGGGGCCCCACCTCTGCACGAGCGAACTTGCTCTTTTCTCCGAACCATAAAGCCTTCGCGGAGGCCAGGTGAGCTTTCGGTTTAACACTGCTTCAAAACTTTCCCCATCAAACAGCGACTTAGCACCCTCTGCGCACAAGAAGCATTGGGCTTCTCAAGGTGGATGCTTGTGCTGAAGACCCTGGGGTTGGCAGTAGATTTCCAGTCGAGGACACTGTAAGGTCCGCCTCCTGAAGCGAACGTGCTGCCATCGACAAGGAGGATCATGATGCCATACTGACTGGTGACCTTGGAGTTGGCGCGCTTGGCCTTGCGCTCCTTAGTGTCGTAGGGAGTGTCGTGCATCATGCCGTTCTCGCGGTCCTCATAGGACAAGCGGAACCCTCCTCGCCAGTTAACTTGGCATTGGCCCATGCTGAGTCATGAAAAATCAAGAACTCGAGAGAGTCAAGCTCGAGAGGTCTGAGCCACAAGCCTTTGTCACGATGGTCCCATGCGCGGCGAGCTGTCTGATTGGTGAAGCGAACATCCCCAACCGTTGGTGACTTCTGAAGCTGCTGCGCAAGCGAAACAGAGCACTGCAAGTCTGGCCTTGACTGACTACCCAACCAAGAAAGCGCCCCTATCAAGGATTGGTTATCAATCTTCTGCTCCTCGGACGCCAGGTCCATGTCATTCTGCCCGGGGGCGATGTCTACTTGAAAGAGGTGAGAGGCGGCATAGGCTTGCTGACTCACATGCACCCCAGTTTCGTTGACAGTAACATGTCTACCTATGTACTCGAAGTCATCAGTTTCCCACCCGTCCACAGGAAATATGCTCGACAGTGCATCCCTGACTCTCTGGCTTGTCCCCTTTGAGCCGGCCACAAGAAGGTCGTCTACATGGACGCCTACATAGGCGACTGGCTCATGCTGAGGAGTGTCCACGGGAACCAACTGAAACAGACATGGGTCTAGAGGATTCTGAACGAAGTGATGCAAGACTCCTTCAAGGTCTATGCGCAACTCTAGCGTGTCCTTCCGAAGTTTTCGCCACCACTTCCGTGGCGAGTCCGGGAGACCAAAGATCCCCTTAGTAACTCGGAGAAGTTGACGAGGATCGAGATCGCCAAGACCTGATTTGGGTTGTTTCAGGTACAGTTCTCTCTCCAGCGGATCCCCGTTAAGGAGGGCCGCCGTAATATCACCGGCGCTGGCCTCCCATCCGTGAGTGGATGTCCTGCTAGCAACAGTTTGAAGCACAGTGAGAACTGAAAGCCGGTTGATAGTGGGCCCACATCCGGATCCTTGTGTCCAGAGATGACGAGTCTTGCCTTATGTTTCCACGGAAGGTCAGGTTGCACTCTCCGACGACTCCAATGTTTATCTTTATACGCAAAACGAGATCCCAAAATTCTGCTGAGATCAACTCGATCGCGCACAGCAGCACTTTCCTCGATTGTCAAGGGAGAGAGGGCTTGATGATCAATGTGCTCAAAGTACTGCTTCTTCTCAGCCTCTCTGAATGCTGCATGCTGCTCGGGCGGTATCATTGACCACGGCACTTCCTTCTCATACTGCTTTTCTGGGCACCTTGTCGTGTGGCATTTCTTCAGCATGTTGGCGGACTGAACCCCTGGACCCTTATGGCGCTGTCTCTTAGATGGAGGCGGATGATTCGAAGGTGAGGGTCTAGGCAGACTGGAACCACTGGGGGCCTCGGGCTCATCAACATCAAGGTCCCCTGGAGCAAACTCAAACTGAAAGTCCATGTCCTCGTCATCGGCCATTTCTTCCCCACCATAGTCGGCATCTCCGACGACCGGGTCTTCTCCATGCTCCTGAAAGGTTGCGGGGTCAGCAGGGTCAAGATTGAGGAGGCGTTCGAGGTCATCACGCGCAAGTCTGGTGGACAGAAGGTCTCCTATTTCTTCTGCAGTACTGGGTCTGAGATGCTCTTCTGCAACCAAATGGCACCGACCAGCGTGTGAAACCCACCAGTTACCACCTTCAGCACCTATGATAGTCCCGGGCCGTTTCCATCGTCCACGCTTGGTGTTGGACTTTGTTCCGGCCTTGTCAACACGGAAAAAGCAGACAAGCTCTCCGACAGAATGCCCGCCCCGTTTGACCCGTGCTCTCTGAATGAGTGCCCGCCGCAACTTGCCATCAAGCTGAGTACGAAAAATGCCATGCGGGCGGCGGTGCGGATTGCGACCTCCCTGTGACTCCGACGGTCCTGGGACATTATTTCGAGGAAGCACTCTTCATCGTCGCCACTGCATAACTCACCTGAGCTCTTTGGTTTTTTTTCGAACACCGCCTGACTCGGCGAAAACCGTGGCGGCGACGAAGGCCGAATTGACCGCCTGGACGGCCATGTGCGTGTCAGTCTCATCTATGGACCTCTCATCGACAACACGGCGCAGTATCTCTTGATACCACAGCTGGTCTCTTTCTATGACCCCCTGTTGCCAGTGGGCCTGTCCGGCCGCTGAGCGAACTCTGCATCCATGGAATTACACTTCTGTGAACTGCCTCGCTGGAATGCCCTTCAAGTTTTCGGACCAGATGAAGTGTGGTAGCGTGATCGATGATGGAGATGAACTCATGCTTCACTCGATTGCAGTCAAAGGACGAAAACACATCAACACTGACCAGCTGATTAAAGTCTAGGAGCGTAGGCAAGGATGCTGGTCGAGGAGGTGCTGGGCCACGGCTGCGAGAACATACCTCGCAACGTAGCTTCTTACACCCCTGTATCACTGCTTCAACAGCCGCAGCGAGTCGCAGATGCCGCGTCAAGTCGCTATTACTTGGGCGCCCCAAATTTTGGCGCAGGCGGCCCAAGGCAGCCTGGATGACTTTCGGAACATTACCAGCAAAGGAAATACGCCCAGTAGATAGCCCATGACCCTGAAGACCACGTCCAAGAGGCTCGGGAGCGTCTTGAGGAGCATCTTGCGCTTCATTAGGAGCTTGTTGTCGGCTGCCATCTGATTGCGTCTCTCCTACGAATGCTGATTGAGGTCTGGGGGGAAGAATTCCAGGTTGTTAAGAGACAAGAAAACTTCATGTTGCCAAATTGGATCAGTACGATGCTCACGCGTGACAAAAACCCCACCCTGCTGGATCTGTCTGGTCGCTGCTGCAAGAAGGCGGTCGATACCCTCGCAAACTTGACCATTACCTTGCACCCAAAGCACATGAATTATCACGTAGTCGCCATATTCAGCCATCCGACAGGTCATCTCAGTGTCGCCTACCTCCAATACGACAGGCTGGTCAACTGGAGACCCTTTGGGCATGAACTCACTCATGTAGGTGGAGGCAACTGTTAGGCCAAGAGTCAGCAAGGCGCTGGCTCGATGGGCCCCTTTCCGCTTCCTGACACTCTTTTTGGGACGATCAAGATGCTCACGTTCCCAGCCAATGTTTGTATGGAAAACTGGATGCTGATGAGACCCTGCAGCACGACATGGACTGATCGGAAACCCAAAAGTTCGTAGTGTATCTCGCTCAAACCTAGTCATCTGCTCAAGACCGCGAAGCGTCTAGCATGTGATGGCGAAGCGGTCGCCGTTCCAATCTTCTACGCCATGTTTCTGATGAGGATCAAAGGTAAACATGTTCTCTCGGGTGCTAACAAGATACGCTTCGATACTAACACCATGCGAGTCCTCGACGACTTGGAGAAATCAGATCCATGGCTATGCACCTGGGCACAGGAAGGGCTCTCAAGCCAAAGCCGACCACCGCTGAAAGCTCCAAAAGTAATGGTGTGGTTGACACTGGACTTCTCGTTGTGTTGATCACGATGTACAAGCGGCTTAGAATTATGACTGAGCGCGACAGCGCTCCCTGAACCCTTAGCCCCGTGGTGCTTCATGAAAGCATTGACATACTTAAGGACATGGGCGTTCTCGTGCGACTTCTTACTGTTCCCATAGAAGGTGCCACGCGCACACCCACCCAAAGATATAGATGCAGAGCCATCCAGAGCCATCTCCAGTAATCTGTCGCTTCCTTGCTGCTTTGGCTGCACCGCACACATCTCGTAAGATTTCTCTGCGCTGAGGAAAGAAAAGTCCTTGTTGCGAAGAAGTTCCCTAGCAAGGTACTCTGAAGAGACCTGACTGTCAGCACTCTCGAGACAATAGACAGTACGCCCTACCCAAACACTTCGTGAGCGGTATCTCGAGCCTGCTGCCAGAAGTCGTGCTTTCTTTCGATGCTGAGCAAAGTGTGGCAAGCAACACTCTCGGTAGTGCGAACTTCCCCAATATGCTCAAGAAGGAGATCCCGGACATCAAGCTGAGGAGTATCCCACATGTCAGGGTAGAAGAAATGCTTCCGAGGCTTAATGTGAATGCGAATGAAAGATGAATCGGTCTCAATCCAGAAATCTTTTGAAACATCAGTGCTGGACCACCAACTCATGAACACATCTGAATTCAAAGACTCGGCGCTCAACATGTTGAAGACAACAGGCGAGAGCTTCTTGGGATAGAAAATAGTCTTGAAGACACCGATGTCGGACGCATCCTTTGTGACCTCCTTGATGGTTGGCGCTGAAAGTCCTTCATCGGCAACAAGGACACTCTCGGATTTGGGGGGAATGCTTGTGGTGACTCTACAGGCATGGGCAAAGCAGGCACATCAGCAATGTATGCTCCACTCGCACTCTTCACGTTCATGACAAGCCAGATTTTCGCCCCCCTACCACTCACTAGATGAAGGTAACTGGAGCTTTGGGAAACGCTGCGGTTTCACTGGGATAGCAGGATGGCCGTTCTCAGTGGTCAGCAAGGGGAAGTCATACAAGCCGATGCGACGGAAGTCAGCCTTGTGCCCTTCAACATCGTAGAACATCCCAAGAGTGCTCAAAGCTTTACGTGATAGAAGCAGAGGAACTTCTCCGTGTACGATGGGAGCTCGAACAAGACAAACATGATCACCAAGAGGAATCAGGATCGTAGCTGTGTATGTAGCTCGAAACAGGCGGCTTGCCCCAAACCTGAAATCATCCTGGGTGTCAATGAGCTGCATGGGGACCCCTGCTTCCTTAGCTACCTTCATGTAATGCTGCAACCAGCCGTAGCCAGCAACTGATTTGGAACAAGCCGTGTCCGTGATTGCAACCAGGCCAGTTCCCAAGTATCCTAATTCATAGGCAGCCCGGACAACGTCAGCTTCTTTGGAGGGCTGACCGGTGTTTGCTCCGGTGGTTGATGATGAGGTAGCTGACTTTTCACTACCCTGAGTCTGAGCACGTCCCTGATTCAAAGGGCACTCAGCATCCTTATGCCAATGGCCGGGGGCCTGCGGCATCCTGCGCAAAAGGATTTCATCTTAGCGGTTTGAAGTCTCTGATCGAGACCTCCTTTTTGGGGTTGTCGCGCGTGTCTCCACGCCCAAGAACATTCAAGTCAACCCCTCTAGCTTTAGCCAGTTCACGATATCGAGATTTAGCTGACTCCGCCGCAACGAAAGCTTCATGAAGCTGAGCCGCTCGTGTTCCTCTAGCAAGGTTTCGCTCTCTGCTTGTGATTGGGCCTCCAGCACCTCTTCTTCGCCGATTTCAGTGAGGAAGGCTCCCTTGGGCTTGCCCCCTTTACCTTCTTGGAAGTTCCCTTTGCGAGCATGCCTGGGAGTTAGAATGGCTTTTTCATGAAGAACAGCAGCACGTTGAAGTTTGTTGATGTCATAGGCGTTCCCTACCGAAGCTAACAAAGCCAACTCCTCAGAGTTCGACAGACCAAGATTTCTAAGATAGGCCCAGGCTTTAGCAACTTCAGGAAGTCGACAATCCATCTCCAAGAGCCTGGTATGGGTGCGATCGAAAGCTGAGTTGAACTCACGAATGCTTCGACCAGCTTCACGACGAAGTCTCTTAAAGAAATGGATGAGAGCCTCAGCGATCTTACTGGCCTCGACTTCTTGGTATCTCTCTTGAACCCAACGACGGAAAACCTCAACACCATCCTCATTGGCTAAAGCATCCATGCTGAGCTCTTCTGCTTCAACCCAAGCTCGACCAGTAAGGTTCTGGTACAACAACAATGCACGTTGTGAAGGCGGAGCACGCGTCACTTTGCACCAAGCATCAACTTGACGAAGATCAGACCTAGCGCTACTGCCTAGAGCATCACCAGTTTGATCAGCACTAAAGGTGGTGTAGCTCCAAGGGTGCCTCCTGACTCTTGTGTGGGAGTAGCTGAGGCGCCTGTGGGATCTTGAGATTCAAAACCGGTGCTGTCCCTTCGACTAGAAGAGTTCGCAGTTGTTGCATCTTGCGTTTGACCATCTGAACCTGAGCCCGACCCTGCCCCTGACCCATCAGAAGCATGATCAGGATCGCGAGTGCTGTTTGCCCAAGTGTCGGCTCGGGCGTTGCTCCAGGAGTGTTGCCATCCCTGGTTTGTGTCATTAACATTGCTGTAACCCCAAGAACTGTCCCATGACCACCCTGAACGATTACCATTTCCGCTCCAGCCAGAGCGACCCCAGCTAGATTGACCCCAGGAATCATAAGGTGATGAGTACCAGAGTACCAGCTAGATTGCCACGGAGAACTGTTGTTCGAAGAACACTGCAGGCCAGACTCATGAGTTTCAGTAGGAGCTTCTGCTGTCTCAGCAGAGCCGATCTCTGGCGCCGCAGTCGGATGTTCACCCCCTTCGGCCATGGCAGGCCGCCCCACTACACTAGACCACTAGAACCGAACCAACAAACGAGACGAGCAGCAGAAGAAAAAGAGACAGGTGTCGGACAAGAGACCACAACCACCACTACACCCGGGACCGCGGCCCGGGCTCCGCTGACGAAACAAGACCTACAAGAACCCCTAAGAACCTCTCCGGGGGCCCCACCTTAGCACGAGCGAACTTGCTCTTTTCTCCGAACCACAAAGCTTTCCCGGAGGCCAGGTGGGCTTTCGGTTTAACACTAACCCTAAAACCCCAAACCTTTAAACCCTAAACTGAGTGACCGTCGAGCAGGGGCTCCCAGTCCCACAGGCAGCTGTGGGCTGCGCGGTTAGCCTGGCAGGGTGGCCCTTAGAATGAGCTACCCATTTTCGCCGATTTTTGCCCAGCCCTTCCAGGGGCCAGGGGCCTCCCAGAGCTTGTATGGCCTCCCAAGATCCTCAAAACCTTCCAAAACCTTCTAAAACGATTCTTGCAATTCCAAAAAACTCCCAAAAAGTTTCCTTCAAGCTTCAAGGAAAAGCCTGCAGAAGCTGTCAAGAGCCTCGTCTCCAGGCAAGGGGTCTCCAAACATTGCAGGGTCGGGTCTCAGGGCCATACTAGTGAGGGAGGCGATCCTCCAAGACCTCCCACACCTTTCAGGGCCTCAAGGGCCTTACAACGGGTCTGTAGGCCTTTCCCTTTCAAGAAAAGGAGCAGGCCAAGTTTGTGCCTGACCGATTTTTCCCAGATTTTGATGCCTCTCAAGGCCTCCAGGCTTTGCTTTCAGATCCGGAATTCTCATCACCAGGCCCAGACAGGATCGTTTTTCGAGATTGGAAGGGCACCGTCTGAAGAAAACTAAAGGCCTCGAGCCACCCCCAAACTGGCATCCGTCTGGTCTGGAC